CCCGTAATTGCCGCCCTCTCTTCCGATTTGATGCCCATTGGGCGGATAATTCCGAAGTTAGGGCTATGGTACATTATGTCTGGCAGGAGGATATCCAAGGGACGCCAATGTTTCGTCTATGGGAACGCCTTAAGAAGCTCCGTCATTTATTGTATGATTGGAGTAGGGCGGGCACCACTAATTCCCTCCGCAATATAAAAACTCTCCATAATGAAATTGAAACTATCAAGTTCCCATCCTATTTACTGGGATACAATCCGGATTCTGAAAAGTGAGTTAAATCGGCAATGGGAAGCGGAGGAGCTTTATTGGCAGCAAAAGTCTAGGGTTCACTGGTTAAAGAAAGGAGACAAGAATACCTCTTATTTTCATACAGTGACTCGGACGCGCCGTAAGAAGAATTTTGTGGCCGGGCTTCGTAATGAGGAGGGCGATTGGATCACGGATGAGCCTGGAAAATCTGGTATTGCGACCGATTTCTATCAGCATCTCTTTACATCGGAGAATCAAATCTTTAATACGTCTGAGCGTGTGGCAGGCTTGCCTTTCGATCACACTGTTACCCCAGAAATGAATGCCAGCCTAACGGCTCCTGTTCTCCCTGATGAAGTTCGCAAAACAGTTTTTGTCATGGGATCGAAGCAGGCTCCTGGGTCTGACGGATTCACGGGGAAATTCTTCAAATCTTTCTGGGGTATTGTGGGAGCCTCGGTGGTGGAGGCAGACTGTTCTTTCTTTGAGACTAGCAGGATGCTCCGTAGTTTTAACCATACTTGGCTCACTCTGATTCCCAAAGTCGACTCTGTGGAGAACATGCGACAATTGCGGCCAATCAGCCTGTGCCAGTTTGTGTATAAGACTATTACTAAGATCATGGCTGAGAGACTTGCGGGTTTTTTACCGCAGATTGTCTCAGAGGGTCAAAATGCTTTTATACGGGACAGACAAATCATCGAGAATATCCTGCTAGGGCATGAGTTAATGCACTATTTGAAAATTAAGACCCGTGGAAAGAAAGGGTTCATGGCTCTGAAGGTTGACATGGAAAAGGCCTATGATAGAGTTGAATGGCCCTTTCTCCTAGCTGTCTTGGAAAAAATGGGGTTTAACTCTACCTGGCGGGGATGGATACAAAAATGCCTTCGGTTCTCGTCTTTCTCCGTTTTAATGAATGGCACCCCTTCGGGCTACTTCACCCCCTCCAGAGGCCTCCGCCAGGGGGATCCTCTATCCCCGCTTTTGGTTGTGCTTTGTACGGAGGGGTTTGCTGCGCTTCTTCGGAAGGCTATTTCTTATGATAAGCTTGGAGGAATCAAGGTTGCTCCCCGGGCCCCGCGGATCTCGCATCTGTTCTTTGCAGATGATTCGTATTTGTTCCTGCGTGGGTCTCTCTAGGAGTGCGAGAATTTAATCGAGTTCTTGAATGAGTATGAGGAGCTCAGTGGCCAGAGAGTGAACTTGGAGAAATCGACAGTGTGCTTTAGTAGAAATATTGTTTTGCCAGACCAGGAATTCTTGGCTGCGGTTTTGGGAGTAAGGGCGGTAGGGGTTCATGATAAGTACCTGGGATTTCCTATGCTGATTGCTCGGTCTAAGATGGAGACCTTCCGGTACTTGGAGGAGAAGTTGCTTGATCGCCTCCAAGGATGGAAACGAAGAACGCTATCCTGGGCGGCTAAGGAAACCCTAATCAAGTCCATTGCCTTGACACTACCGTTGTATGTGATGTCCTGTTTCAGACAGCCTCTCTCATTGTGCCGATTGCTGGATAATCATGTGGCACGGTTCTGGTGGGGAGTTAAGGAGGACCAGTCGAGAATTCGGTGGATGTCATGTAGGAATATGTGTCGGAGTAAGTATGATGGAGGAATGGGGTTTCGCCGTTTTGAACATTTTAACCAAGCTCTTTTGGCTAAAATTGGTTGGCGCCTCTTTCAGGAGCCCCAATCCCTCCTAGCTCAAGTCTATAAAGGGAAGTACTTTCCGAATGGGTCCTTCCTTTCGGCCACGACACGATCTCGTCCCTCGTGGGGGTGGCAGAGCATTCTGTATGGCCATCAGTTATTAGAGGCAGGGCTACGTTGGCAAATTGGAAATGGGCAGTCAGCTCCCCTGCTCCACTCTAGCTGGATTCCTCAATTACAGCCTGATCCTCCTAGGTATAATCCCCAGGTCCTGCCTGTTGAGGGGGGTTCGGTGGTGGCAGAGGTAATCAGCCCGGAAGGGGGGCGCTGGTGTGACCGGAAGTTGAGTCAGTGGTTCGATCCTCCTACTTGTGAGGCCATTAAAGCCATCCCCCTTCCGCGATTGCCGGTGGAGGATAAGCTGATTTGGCATAATACTCCGGAAGGCATATTCACTGTGAAGTCGGCCTATCATTTAGCTGTCACCCTTGATAGAAGGAAGGGCCGGTGGAGGTCAGAGGTTAGCTGGATGGATACGGCTAGTTGGATCAGGCTGTGGGAGGCTAATCTGCCTTCTAAATTGAAGGTGTTTGTTTGGCAAATCCTGAATCGCATTCTTCCTACGACGGAAGCCCTCGTTGCCAAAGATATTCCGGTTTTACCTAGGTGTCCGGTTTGCTGGCCGAGTCAGAAACCTTGGAACATTTATTCCTCTATTGCCCGGTGGCTCGGGCGCTCTGGGACTATTCGGGGCTGGCTTCCTTGGGAAAAGGGTTGCCTCAGCACACATTTCCCCTGTTTCTGAAGCGGTTAATGTCTCTGATTAATCAGCCATCCATTCTCATGGCGGTTGTTGTTGTCCTTTGGCGAATATGGCGTTCTCGTAACTGGGTTGTCTTCGAAGGCAAGCAGTTTGGGATCCCTGCTCTGATGCGTCAATATAACCAGCAGTATGAGGAATGGGTTGGGCTGCCTGTGGATCGGAACTCTCGCTCCTCTGTCCTTCCCCCATCTCAACCGGTTCTGGTGGAGGCTGATAGGCTGGTTTGCATGTGGGATGGGGCTACGAGGAGGGGGTCCCACTCAGCTGGGGGGATTGTTATTATGACCCCGGCTAGAGGGGTCCTAATGGCTGGTGGGGTTCAGTTCCCGGGCATCGATGATCCCACGGTAGTAGAGGTGCTGGTGCTCCGGCAAGCTATCATGTGGTGCCTGAATCGGGGTATCATGGAGGTGTGTTTTGAGGGGATGCTAAGGTCATTATTGACAAAATCAACCATGCGGATGCTAGTGATAGTCGGATTGGTGCTATTCTTGCTGAAATTATTCATCACTTGGCGGTTCGCTCAGGGTTTAGTGTTAGATTTGTAGGTCGGCGTTGCAATAGGGTAGCCCACTTGGTGGCTCGTAAGGCCCTCTCTTTGTACCCGACTGCGAGTCGTTTCTTTGATTTTCAGGTCTGGCGGCTTTCCAGGATGTAGCTATCTTTTGTTTCAATCAATGAAGATTATCTTTTCTAAAAAATAAACATAGAAATACAAAAGTGTAAACATTTAAGTTTTAAAACGCAATTTTCAATTTTGACAGTATTGTTTATTTATTAACAAACACAGTTTTTTCCTTGAAAATCAAGCTTTAGCATCGACTCTCGGACCTCAGTTATGGCCTATGGGCATCGAGATGGTTGACAATTTGTGGCAATGACAGATTGGGAGATCTCTGTTACCTCATCAATCACTCATAGTTCAAAGTGAATTAGACTTCACGGAATAAATAAACACCAAAAGACTTAGTAGTGACACTGAATTAGAATTAGTCAGGTATGCGGCAATCGATCAGAATTTTTTGTCTTCGGTATGTGGGCTTATATGAATAAACCATTCGGATTGATGGAGAATCAAAAGCATGTACATGTGAGAGAGCGATCCAAAAGAGGAGAGTGCAATTTCGATACCGCAAAACTGCAGAGAGAGTTACAATCGAATTTGCTTTACTTGACCCAAACCCAAATTCTGCAACAGCGGGCATCACTCGGTATCCATCGCCCGAGTTTCAAAACAAGTTAACAGAAAACAGGTAGTCTGTCCAAGACTTGCTTCTTCCAACTCAAAGAGCATATGAGCAAGTTCCTTGTCATAGAAGAAGTTTCTTCTGGTATTATCAAGGAAATTCTAAACTTCAGATATTGTCCCAGCCAGAAAGTACAGCTCAATGCATCGGTCTCTTCCCACATGACCTGCAATTCAACTGCTGTACCCTGTTTTTTTAGCTGAACTTGTGCCCTCAATGGATGTCTGAACATGAAAAAATGCATTAGTGGGTTGTCGTTGTTCTTACTACAGCAGTTCCTACATTCAGAAATGAGAAGCTTAAACAAAATGTAAAGAGGTTGTCATTTCCCCCAACACAATAATCTTTCTCAACAAACATACTACTACATGGATTCTTGACCAAGCCAAACAATGTACACACACCATAGCTTACCAACCTTCCTCAAAGCTCACCAAAACAAAACAAAACAAATCCCGCCCTTCCCTCCTATCTTCTTCTCAAGCGTGCCAATTACTAAACAACCAGACTGGCATTCATATGCAACTCAAAACATGGAAAAAGGGAAAACACAAATACATCGATACCATGACAGAATCTAGCATCAGTTGCAAAATTCACTAGTCTTTCTAATATCTAGTCTCATTCTTTATGCTCGCAATTCATTCTTATCACTACCTTGCATGTTTGCTTTAACAAATTATTGCAATTTTAGAGAAAGCAACTTCTAAAGGATTGAGCAACATATGACTTCAAATCCGAAACACAGAAGAGTAGGAATCAACCACATTGGTCCAGGTCCAGGTCCAGACTATTTCTTTACGTTTTGCAAAGGCATTCATTCATCTATGACTATGTATAAGATAAGATTCCCCCTCATGAACACAGCTACAGCTGCCAGCGAGGGCTAAATAGGCATAATAGACAGACAGGCATTCATCAAAAGAACTAACAACGGATATGCATGCAAGTGTTCAAGTACAAGTTCCGCTGCGAATCTTGTTCAAAGTAATCAAGTTCTGGAAAGACGAAGAGAACTCACATTGCTCACTCCATGCTAACTTTGGCCCCAACTTCCTTCATTTTGGCAATGATCTTCTCAGCTTCCTCTTTCGTCACCCCTTTCTTCAACAACGTAGGAGATTTCTCCACCAAGTCCTTGGCTTCCTTCAGACCCAGATTAGTAAACCCTCTCACTTCCTTAATCACCTTGATCTTGGCCGCCGCCTCGTAGCCATCTAACTTCACATCAAACACCGTCTTCTCCGCTTTCTCCTCCCCTTTTCCTGCAGCCGCAGCACCGCCGGCTCCCCTTCCAGCTCCCGGCATGCCACTGAACCCCATCCCTGGCATCATCATGGCCATCAACGGCATCTCTTTCATATCCAACTTGTTCCGCAAAACCTCCGTTAGGTCCGAGATTTCCAGAAGAGTTAAACCCGAGAGTTCGTCCACGATGCCCGATACCCTTTCCGACGGCGCCGCCGGTGCTGATTGCTCTGCTGCTGACCCGAAATGGCGAGCAACTGTTGCGACGCGGAGATTATATTGCAAAGAGAAAGCAGGGCTTTGATCGAGGGTTCTCCGGATCCGCCACAACTTCCGTGAAGCTAATCGAAAATTTCCCATTGCTTTAGAGTCCGTCGGATCACTTACTTAAAGTCGGAAACTTTGTGAGGTTTAAATTGGGACGTCAATGGAAAAGCGCAGATAGTAGAGAGAACTAACCCTCGCCTCGTGTTCGCGGTGGACTGACGAGTGAAAGCCACAGCATAAACCCTACAGCTGCACGAGATAGAGCTTTTGCGACTTGGGCCTTTTTCTCTGTTATAGAGGCCGCCATTATTGGGCCTAACTCAAACGAGGGCCGTGGCCATCTGTTTTAGTCCTTTTCATTATTCTGGTGAATTGCATGTTTGGTGTGATTCCATCTACACATAATATAATACGTCGAAGGAAAAACGGGAGCACCATTTCAAATTTCCTGCAACGAGAGTGAAAGTAGGAAGGACATTTTGGTCTTCACAATTACTTTTTTTTTATTCATTAAAAACATAGGTACTGAGATTCGAACCATGATCATTTTAAAGAAAGGCAAGGATCATAACCAATCACACTAAATACATTTGTTGTATCCTTTTAAATTAAAAACATATAATAGCAGGGTGGAAAAAATTCTTCCCCCATTTCAAATTCCCTACTCCAGAAGCATTTGTAGGAAGGGTAGAATAAGGAGTGTCAATTTTTTTTCTCTTTCCTCTATGGAACGGGCCAACTTACCGTACACATGCGGATTTAAACGGGTCCATGAGTGTCAATTTTTTTCTTTATACCCTTTCATTTCTCCGTGGTGATAAAATATATATGAAAAGGAAAAAATAATACTCCTTTTTATTGTTAAAAATAAAAAATTTAACAATAAATTAATGCATGGTATCTAATGGGCTAATCGCTAACCATAAAATAAAGGAGTTGAATGGGCCTGACCTACATGGGATTTGACCATCAAGTAAAACAAATGAACATCATTGGTTTGTCATTCCAAAACAAGCTATTTTCTCTGGCATAATATATATTATGCTATTATTTTATATCTTAGTGGCTAAAATATAATGTATTTTAAAGTTATTCAGTGGTTCAACCTCGACCAACCCAATTAGTCCAATTTTTATCATTTCAAATATATATTTTATAATCATTTGACATCATAATGATCAAATTATAGTGTATTTTATAGGAAATCGTTTGGTATTTGTTAGTAAAAAACTAAACATAAAGATCTATTTGGTTATTTTAAACATTAAAACGATCCTAAACTCAGTTACTTTTGAATTTCTGGTTTTATTCTCGAATAAGTGATGTGCAAATGGCGAATTGTAGTCGTCTCTTTTCTTTCACTATTTTTTATTTTCAAATAGAAAGTTTAAAAGTAAAGAATAATTAGAATTTGGCATGGGTCGGTCAAACAGGCTGAATTTCAATTTTTGGCCCGTTTGTTTTATGCATTGCAAATTTATTAGCATGTTGATGGAAATGGCTTGGAAAAAAGACATATAAGTTGTACCTTTGCAGAAATGTCCTCAAATGTTTGAATGCTTTGTGAATCAGGTTCCGTGACTTTTGTGATGGTGTATGTGCTTGACGATTGCTCGATGTTGTGACTACTTAATTTGAGAGTAAATATTTTGATTTTCCCTATGAGTTGTGATACCAGTTCTGGTGGTTGCAGCATGTTGTTGTTGTTGGCCTGTAAAAGTTGTTCCACCGTGATGCTAAATACCTTTTTTTTAACAAATTGTGTAGTAGTGCTATGAAACAGACCACCCATGAACGCTACGCTTATTATGGTCTGTTCTTACTTCCTGTGGTGAGAAATTGTGAATTGAGAATCATATTCGCCTACCGCACTGTGTCTGGCTGGTGGCTGCTTACTGTGCTCTCTAGAGTTATGAAACAGACTACCCATGAACGTTACCCTTAAGAGTCGATAACTTTGCGAAAAACCAAATTTAGGCAATCAAAGGTGGTGAATGTGTGATGATTTTTTATGGCTTAATTGTTTGTGAATTGGATATCTGATCTTTGTATGATAATAGGGGATGTTTGCTTAATAGAATAATCCATTTTAATTCATGTTTATTTTTAACATGAACTTTAGTAACTCAAAACCTTCGAGACACATATCACCACTGCATTGTATCATTTTGCCTGGGTGCTTGCGGTGTTGTCAAACTTCTTTGCTGCTGCTGCTGCATTTACACTAACAGGGGAGTTAAGAACCCATGAATGTTTCCGTTTGACACAAACAAGAGGACTTACTTCTAAATCGTGCACTAAAGATGATTGGAGGAAACATCTCTGTTGCAGTTGATATGCTGGAGACCATAACAAAAGCAACGTATAACATCAAAACCAACCATCTGAACTATTAGCATTGTTGCTTTACTCTTTTTACGTGGTTGAGTCTCCTTCAAAAAATTTAGTTTGATCTTAGAAAATTTTGCTTCTGCAGTCCTGTCTTGCCACCAACGCGTTCAGTAGATGGAGATGGCAGAGGAGAAGGCTATTTTTGTGTTGTTGTTGCTGTTTTAGGGATCGGTTTGTGAAGAAGAGGGAGAAGAGAGGGGGAAAGGGAAATGCAGGAGAGGGGGATAACTCTTTTCTCCGACAAAAATGGAGTGAAGAAAGGAATTATGATCAGTAGGGATATGGTTATCTTACATAATGGTCTCTATTCTGTTTGAATTGAGCTTGGGAGGCAGTGATAAGGACGAGCTGCAACCAATTCATAGTGATAAGAGTGCTATGAACTGTGATCAAGTCTTATTTCAAGTTAGAAGGTAGTTTCAGTATAAGGATTATTTAATTTGACAAGTTGTTTTGTCCATGATTCTTGGTAGTTTCAGGGCCATTCTAGCCATTGTTTAGTCTGTAATTTTTGAGAATTGATGTGCGAGTAATGACTTTCACTTAGCTTCAACTATTATGTGTGTATTTATTGGCATGTGATAGAATTCTCTTTTCATTTTCTTTGAATTCAGTTTCATACTCTAATTGTATCATTTGTACATAGGCAAATCATGCTCGAGATGACAACTCGCTGATATGGCTGGTGCAAGGAATGAAGCCATCATTAGAATTCAGACTGACAACGGGGAGGGATGCCCAGGACTAATTCAATGATGATTGATGATGGTATAATAAAAACTGCAGTCCATCAGCACCAATTTCTAGGCCTAAGTAAAGTTATTCAACCCAGAACTCTGTTTAGCGCTAAAAATTGCCTTCACCCAACCTTGATCCTGTTTGACCCACTTTTGAAGAGTCAAGATATATGACTAATCCTCTCCGTTCGTATTTTCTTATTGACTCTTTCTGACCCTTTATGTTGGGGCGGGAAGAATCGGATTAGTGGGTCGGTCCTAATCAAGTGGAATCTCAATCCCTTCACTCTCACTTGCTTTCTCTCCCATTCCACAAGTGGGTAACATACAGTAATCCGGCCAACGGGCCGGGTAATAAGCTAGTTTATCACTATGTTTCATGTTTAGCATTAGCACGGAAAACAATTTTCTTATTTATTACTTTTATACTTTGTCATCACCTGATAGTCGATATTCATTCTCGTAAAGCTATCCTATATGACAGTCAACTAGACTAGGGTCCGGCCCGTTGGCCGGATAAAAGCGCAAATTTAACAATTTTACTTGTTGTATAATATTAATATTGAGAAATTTAAATATTTTTCGTCTTAGTAATCTGCTAAAAAATAAAAGAATATAAATGTTTTGATTTCTCAATACACTTCTTGCTAGTAATTTTGATTATTTATCTTAACTTTATATTTCTAATATAATGCATACTATCATGATGATTTATTCATTTTGGAATAAGGGATAAACATTCATGTTATTTCCATTAAAAAATATTAGGGAGAATTCACTAAAAATCAAGAATATATAATGTTATTATTCCAAATAATGCAAAGGTCTATTATTATTTTTTGCATACATATGTGATATAATATGATTCATGGTTAATTTGATACAATATTATATTTTCTACGCGGACAGCACAATGAATCTTTTTTTTAATTTATCTTTTTAATCAAGTTTTTATTGACTCCATAATTGATGATTTTTAATATCCAACACATAAGATTTCAACATTTACTAATTCTTCTGGAGAAGGCCTCAAATTTTGCCTGCTTTGGATTAAGTCATGATATATCCTCTATGTATAAGAATGGAACAGGTGAGAGAGCAAGGGTTGAAGAACATATCATCTATGTATAAGAAATGTTCATTGCTTCCTCCGCCTATATTCTCAACAAGTTTCCCAAGGAACAACAAGATCCAAGTAGTTTCACTATACCACTTTGCATCGGAACACATCATATAGAAAATTCATTGGCGGACTTAGGTGCAAGCATTAATGTGATGCCTTACAAGCTTTTTAGGAAGTTGCATCTAGGTGAGCTAAAGACTATTAGGCTTAGTATCACATTGGTCGATCGCTCTGTCATTAGTCCTAGAGGTATTGTGGAGGATGTCCTAGTAAGAATTGGCAAATTTTACTATTCGACGGATTTTGTTATCCTTGGTATAAGTGAAGATGCAAATATGACACTCATTCTAGGATGCCCCTTCCTTGCCACCGCTAAGGCCTTAATCGATGTTACCCAGGGAACACTAATTTTGAGAGATGGAGAGGAGCAACTTACTCTCTTAATTGATCCTAAGACTAAGAATGATGATGTAAAGAAAATGGACTCGAATGGTTGATTGGAAGTGGAGGCGAGCCTCTAGGAGAAACCCAATATTACTTGTGTTCCTTGTGGTGATGTGAAGTAGGAAAAAGATGAGGGTATCAAACCCGAAGAAAGGAAAAAGGGAGCATGGAGAGAAAGGATGAATCGCGTTTATACCCAAAAGAAAGACAAGGGTAAAGCCAAGGTAGTTGGCCAAGAGGGCCATCCTTTGGAGCTTAAGTTGGGAGGCGAAAAATCTCACCCCAAGATTGAGGCGGATCCACTCTCGGTGGCTTCGTACTCTCATGTATGATAGATCCGCAACGTCAAGTTAGTGACGTTTACTTAGCGCTTGTTGGGAGGGCAACCCAACGTCGAT